TTTAAAAAAAGTAGTATAAGTGGCAAGCATGCTGCAGGAAAGCTAGTTTCTGTGAATGTGACCCAGTTAAATTATGGTAGGTAGGCATACTTTTAGTCAGCTTGCTCTATCCTAGTAGAACAGATTTGTTTTTAAAAACAAGTATTTTCCAGAAGCAAAACTTGCTTTAAGAAGTCATGTTTACTGGGCAAATATACAATATCAAGAGGCCTGACTCATTTCTGACATCATAGAAAGAAAGGTAGGCGGTCATTCAGAATTTTTCTTTGTAGAATTTTTTGCGATATTAATGAAATAAGCCATTCAAAAACAATGTACTGAACCTCCTTCAGTGGTAGTGATTGAGGTTAAGGGCTGGGAGGTTTGAAGGTGGGAATAGCTGGAAGACTAAAAACAAGAAAGGGTTTGAGTGAAGTACACAATATAACCCAGTATGAGTTAAGTTATAAAACTATAATTACAGAATTGTAGTGTTGAGTAAAATTATATAAACCAAGGGCAATGCAAATTCTAAGGAAATATAAGCTCACGGGAGGGCTATGATAGTTCACAAAAAAATCTTGAAATATGGTTGAAATCCATAGACTGAGGAGAGGAGGGAAGGGTACACCAGGTTTGGGGGAAGGTGAGGAAAGGCACAGAAGCATCCCCATGGTATGTGAGAGGAGGTATGAAAGATCCCAACTGGAGGAAGCGGTGGTTCTGGGTGGCAGTAAAGACTGGACAGGAAGGTTGGGGGAAATCATGGAGTGTCTTCCGGGAGGCAGAGCTTTCTTCCATTAAAGTGAAGTTAAAGTACTGAAGCAGGTCAACTCATTTCAATTCCATTTTAATCTCACTGTTGTGTATGAAATAGAATTTCTTTCAAACTATAACCATAGAGAAGGTTGTGTAACAAGTTATAATTTGTTAAGATCACGACATAATTAAATGCCAGTCAGCACCAATAATTTTGCACCTTTGAACCAAACATTTATTTCTAAGTAAATAAAATCTCATTAAATAAGTATATCTTGTGTTGCTACAAAGAAAAATTCATATGCTACTAAAACTTAAGAGATAAATAAGAATAAAACCTTTCCATCCCATGATCTGTGCAAGCCAGACTAAATGAAGTTGCTTGACATGAATCCTAAACAATACCTTGGTTTACACCTGGGTTTGATTTTCTTCTTTATTTTATTTATTTATTTATTTATTTGCCGTTAATGTTAATGCGAATTGCCTTAATGGACTTTGTATAATGTAGCACCTCACTTTAAAAGCAAGTAGACATGGGCAAAGACAACCAACATGAAGGCAAAAATTACCTTTTCACTTAACTTCATCATATAGTATAAATTACTGCTCCCCGGGATCATGGGCAGCTTGACCCAAAGGAGCTGATCCAGTAGTGCAGCCACTCCGATGTCTGAAAAGTGGGCTTCGTGCTCGCCCTGTCGGGAACAAAGGAGAGTTTTGTCTTTCCTTTTAGGCTTTATTTCCTTGGTCCAGGCCTATCTAGCCCTACTTTAACCAAAGAAGCAAAGGGTCATACAGTCAGGATTGAAGGGGCCTGGCCTGAAGACCTACTTTCCAGAAGCTACACCCCACTGCGCTGCACCAGGGCACCCCAAGCACCACAGTTACACCCATGGGACTTGACTGTGGCTCTCCTGGCCCATGTAAGGCAGGACCTCCTGCCACTAGCATCTCCATATAGCTGGCTGTCTTCATGTCCTTGGCAAGGCTGCTGTGCTGGTGTCTGGTGGGAGCAAAGCCAGCAGCCTTAGAGTGGGTGCTGAGGTAACTCTCCATTGAAGACCTGGGCCCCTGCCCTCCTCATCCCTTGTCCAGACCTCACCTGGAATGGCCAGTATGCCCTTTTGCTTGATGCCCCGCTATCTCCGAGTTCCAGGTTGTAATGTGGGGGCCGCATAGGGCAGAGCCCTCAGAGGCTGGCTTCTCTCGCTTGAGGCGTGAGCTTTCAGAGCTGGGGAAATCAGTCCACGGGGCCTGGTCAAAAAATCATTTCTCTCTGAAACCAACACAAAACCAACAGTCAAACCAAACCCCAAGTCACAACATATAACACTTTGCTGGCGCATAGCTGGCTAATTTCTTCTGGCCTCCAAGGAGCTATGGTTCCAGAAAAAGAAAACTCCAGGAGTGATTCTACCAACCATTCTAGGGCCAGAGGCCTGGCTTTCAACCTGTGCCCTCCTAGACACTATGACCACACCCTGTCACAGGCTCCTGCAACCAGAAGTTTAAAACTTAAAGTAATGTAACATTCAAAGGGCTCAACAACATATATTCATTCATGTTATCAAATAAGAACAGGCAACACTTAAGAGTTAAGGACTGTATCTACCCTGCTTTGCTCCATAACAATTACTGTTCTCAGCTACAGAGCTCTGGCCCTCTCTGCCCAGCACAGCCACTTCCTCCAAAGGCTGATCTACCAAGCATGCCCAACTCCTTTCCTGGGTCTCAAGTTAAGCTTAACTGGTAGATTGTTAATATTATAATGATGGTTTTAATTGTCTGATACACATACATGCTTTCAAATGTTTTTATGGTACTGGTTTAGCATGAAATCTGTGAATATTAACCTCTAATCAAAGCTGGACCTGAAATTCTTTTCCAGGATAATGTCCTTACAGGAAAATTCAATTTGATTTTTCTACTTCACAGCATCTATCTTCCCATCCAGTATCCCACATGAGAAATATCTGCATTCATTTATTCAATAAACATAAGCTTGCTTTTTCCTCCTCAATTTTTGGGTCTTCTCCCTCCCACCTACAAAGGAGAATA